GCTTAGTTTGACATGGCAAAGTGTAGTTGTGGCACTAATTTTCCTACAAACGCCTAAACTGCATAGGTCTGTGTGCACATCTCCTTTCAATTCAATTTCAATTCAATTTCTCATATTGTGATCGCTAGCAATTTCATAACAGATGGTTCTCTCGTAGGGACCACATTTTTCGAAATAGAGCAGAAAAAGCCCTCGCATAAGACCAAGACCTCCCTCACATAAAGCATTATTTACAGAACTGCCAACCTAGTACCCACCATTGAGGCACACTTGGCGGCGGCCTAGGGGCGGCCAACCGGCAGATAAGCTGTAAAAGAAAAAGAGTCGCTATCTATTTAATGAGGAAGAAACCTCCGACAGACCTGGCTTCGTACGTGGACGGGTGGGTCGCTCGCCTCAACCAGTTGCGCACAGCTGATGGCAGGAGGGAGCAATATCACAGAAGGTTATACGACTACAGCATTAGATGACAGACAAGGGGAGACATAGAGACAGCAGATGAGCAACAAAGGTGAGAGGGACAAGAGGAGCACAATGAGACAACAAGGATGCCACAAGCAACAACAATGTAGCAACAATCCTAAACAACACTAACATAGTCAGTGACTAGATTGATGACGGGATGTGCGGAACCGACAAACAATCAAACGCAATGGGGCGCGCACAATGAGCAGATGAATATATAATCTATATAGAACAATGGTACGTTCTGCCAGTAGGTAGATAAAATAGGTCAATGAATACAAGAAATTATCACACTGTCGAATATCTAGGAACTGCCCGCGACTCAAGGCAAGCACGCGATTGTAGGAGGCTGCCACCAGGATCCTCATGAGCGCAACCTGGCGAGAACAAGCAGAAGCCACAAGAACTCACAGCGGACAGAAGATGGGGGTTGAGGTAACACGCCATTAATCGCAGATCTATGAACTGCTGTGCAGATTGCACAAAGGGGGGCAAAGAGTACAGAAGAGGAGGCCTCAGTGCGAATCATGCGCGACAAGTTTCCCCGATAGCTTCTAGGCTTATAGCCCCAGCATTAAACTAATTGGGATGGTTCAGCGACTCAGCCTAAGATCCAGCCCTAACTATAAGCTTGATCAAAGAGGAACGTCTTAAGCCTACTCTTAAATGTTGTCCTGGTTATGTGTGACTATGAAGAAATGCATAACCATGCACATAGAGGTAACAAAGACTGTTCATAATGTTAGAAGAGGAAAGAAGAACATTTATGTACGTTTCCAGTCTTAATGCTAAGCTAAGCTGGCCAACTGCCACATTTACTGTACAGAAGTCAACGCAAATAAGCATATCTCCAAAAAATTTTAACTATTCCTGCAATCTGACCGGGTGCGGCCGCTTTAGTGCATCTGCATAGAAAACATGCGGTTTGACTGTAGCAAGTGTCTGCCTCAGTTTGTAGATAGAGATGCAAATATGAGTTCACTGCAATATGCCTCACTTTAGCTCCCCTCTCCCCCCCTCCCTATCCTCATCTCACAGTCTTGTTCTTATGCAAACAAACATTGTCACACTTTACTGCGCAGCCAGGGAAAGTACAAAAGGCACTTTCGTTCCTCAGTTACATCCTGTTGTACTTCATCCAACTCTCAAGATCCATTTTTTTCAGACTGTCAGGTTTAGTAAGGTCACAGAGTGAAAGGCGTTTGCATATTTTGTGTACAACATCCCCTACACAGTGACACAGTGGTTCATAACGTAACTGACTGGCAGCCTGCTGTTTTTTGGTAGCTCTTTACCAAAAAGTGTGTGTATGTGAGTGTGCCTGTCTTTTTTTCATGTATGTAGGTCTATGTTAGTCTTTCATATTATATAAGTGTCATCACCCAACTGTTAAGGCTGTATTTGCACATGCAAAAAGTCGAAGCACTTGTCATCTACGTGGGTACAGGAAAAGGTCAAGTTCCTACTTGCACAAGAGCAAATGCATATTTGCTGTGCGCGTGGTTTTCGAATTCACAGTCGTCCATGAATTGTGGCGCTTGCTAATGTTTGCTTGTCATTTGGCTTCCTGTTCGGCATCTAGTTGTGACAGGGAAAATAGCCTTTGTGTATAGCAACCTTTGTACCATATGTTTGATGTGATGACAGCTTATGATTAGTGAAGGAGCCTCTCTGTTGACTTTGAAGCCCCTGTAGCCTCACTGACACAGACGGCCGGGACATGAGTCGGAAACAGTTCTAATGAACGGACAAAGCCGAATGAACAAAGTGGACAATAATTGAATTAATCTTATTTTGGCTTGTACCTACTTGTTTATTGTTTTAGGTACCAGCTAATGTAGCTCCAAAGAAAGTTTTTATGTTCACCAATTTTGTCCTGATGACAGAATTAGCCTTTGTTCTATACAAACGTCACACTTAACATGAAACGCTGTTCTAAGAAACACAAACTCACTCTCTGCTTAGCCGGTTCTGTTCAGCATTCCCTAGGCAGTGATTCACTGCTTTAGATATTTTCCCTCTTTTTAAATGCACCGACTTGACTTGAGTGGTATACTTCACTGTAAATGGACCAAAACAACAGCTGAAATCAGTTCACTCAGGAATCAAATTTTTTAAATTTACAGAAGGTCAACCAAACTATCCATTATTGTCTCGGCACTGACATCAGTTCGATTGTACGGTTTATTAACTAATTTATTCATCATAAAATATCATCTCTTTTCACATAATTTAAAAAACAAAAAAAATGTGTCAGATGTTTGCCCAGACAGCACTTCAAAGTTCAGACTGTTACATTTTTTTTTTCTGCTTTTGGAAACAATAATTTTCAAGTGCATTCATTTCGTAGAGACTCTTCTAATTTCACTTGTTTAACTCTGTGCCCCTTAGTGCTCTTGAGCCCAGTAACACTGCAGAGGATGAAGAGGCCTGGGCTGACAACATTGTCTCGGACAACAAGAGGTCCTCTCTCTATGGCACAGCACCCAGGTCAAAGGTCAGTCAAGCTGTTTTCTTTTTTGACGGCCTACAACTAATAGATTCAGTTGCTCTGTGAAAGTACTTTTGTTCAGAAAGCTAAAGTTATCAACATTCCCCCAGTTATGCTATTTCTTCATAATAATAAGCCAACAGCAAGATATAGCTCTGTGCCAAGGCCGACATAAAATGTTATATTATAATCCAGTTGTATTACAGTGTCGACCATGACCTATACCTTCATTTCTACGTCTCGCAATGTATTTCATAAATAGAATAGACATATTACATACCAGTCAGTCAGGGAGGATGAGGAGGGCCAATTCAGGATTGTTTTTGGTGTCCCACAATTCTCCTTACTGTTGAATGACTGACCAAGGTTGACTCACTGTCCCTTTTTCTCTTTGCTGATCCTTCCCAGTATAATCCATAGTATAAGAAGTATAACATCAAAAATAAAATGTTCTGCTTCGTTTTAACTGGATAAAGTACTACTATCTGTGAAACTTTGACCAGTCTTTGTGCTGTAAAGAGTCTGTCTGATTTGTCTGATTTTGTGGGAAACTGGCCCAATCTGACCCGGCATGTTCTTGTTTGCTTTGCATATAGAGGCATCACTATTAAATAAAAACAGTTTAATAACCAGTTAAAGTATCTTTGTAATACATTTAAAGAAAGAACATGTAGAAACCTCAGTAGAAGCAGTTTCAGGAAGGAAAATAAAAGGCTGGGGTGCAAGTGAGAAAATGTAATAATGAATTGTATGTTGTAGCAGTTATATATGAACAGAAATCAATCATTGGCTTGCACATACATAAGCAACTGCTATACTACTAAATATTCTGTATAAAAGCCCTACAGACTGAGAGAGCTGAATCCAAACAGATTAAACATTGAAATTTTCATGAAAACCTACAGCAACTGAAACCAGAGGGAAGCTTGAAAAAAAAAACAAGGCTAAAGAACCTATTCTTATTCTTATTCATCTATGATCCCAGCAAATCAGGCTCCTAGCAAAACATTTCAACAAAATTCTTGTTGCTGCTTCTCAAAATCCCTACCTAAAACAAAAGAACATTTTTTTTAAAGGCCTTTCTATAAAATGAAGTTTGATGTAGACTAAAGACACTAAAAGACACCTGTCTGAACTCAATAGGCAGTGTGAGACAGTCTGGGGCCCTGTCATCTTTGGTCACAAAACCAGGATCTGGGAATAACCTGCAGAGCCGCATCCACCGATCTAAGGGAGCGCTCTGGCACATAAGGAGTCAAACAAATGTTTAGTCATCCTGGGGATCATCATTCATAAAAATGTTTTTTAATTACACATAATTACCATTGTGTTGACAACGAGTAATAGAAATATGTCAGCTATTCTGTGAAGCTTGGCAGTCAAAAGCTGACGGCTAATTACCAGACTGGTAACCAGTTTTAACCCTTACTGCTCTGCCCTTTTTGTCGCAAAGTGTTACCAATTTCCTCATCAGTTAATAATGTTTCCACAGCTTGGATAGTTTCTGTAATATAAATTCTGAATGGAGTATATCTTTCATTTTCATTTTTCTTTCGTTTTCTATTGCACTGTATGCCAGGAAAATATCTATTTAGCACAAAATGGTCACCTGGTTTCACTGATCCGGAAAGGGTGTGAGACAAAAATATTAAATGACTGAATTTTTAACTCTATACCCTGTAAGACAAGCCAAATGTTCTACTTTGGATCTAGATGAAGCAACTGAAGCCTGGGAGGATGATACTAAACTGAAACTTGATATTATCCCCTGTGGCGACAAATGTCAAGCATATGATTTAGCAAGTTCAAACTTAAATTCTCAATTTGCTTTTGTCCCTCGAGTGTTTCACATTATATCTAATGATACACTGTATTCGGAATAACAGAAATCCCTTAGGATGATATATTTCTTATATATTCATTATTTTATTAGTTGGGTACATTATGTTTTTTTATGCGTCTTCTCTCAGCACCCTAAAGATTAAATAATAAACTTGTCTGAACATGAATATTCTTGGGGGCTAATTCAACAGTAGCTGCATTCCATCTATATGGTTTATAGAGTCTCCCTCTGGGTCTTGGTTGCATAACTATGACCCCCTTACACTCACAGACAACTCTAATATGCACTATACCAATAAACAGTTCTTATTTTTTCTTATTCTTATTGTTCTTATTTAACCACACTCAGACTTAATAGCCACTCTTATAACCTCAGTTACACAAAGAGACAGGTGACCAACATACAGCATTTCCCTCTAGAGGGCACCATACATCCAAAAATAACACACACAGCACATGAGGATTTGAATCAGTTTCCATGAATAATTTTACCTAACAAGCCCATGTTGGCATAAAAGTGAACCTACACTTAAAGTTAGCCACTGTAACTTTTTAATGAACAGTAATGTGGCTACAACTGAGAATTCCAAGAAAACAGGAAAAGATGTGTAACAGTAGCACAAGAAGAGAAAAGTTTGTGATAATCTACTGGTTATAACAGATCAAATAAGACTTACTTAAATACTTGAAACCAGTGGACTTGCACTGAAGTCCTTATTATATTTGGTGAGAAGAGAATGATTTTTTTCCTTGTACTTTTTTAAGAAAACTTGAAGACTCATTAGCATTCTAAAATGTTTTTTTTTTTTTGCGAATTCAGTGTTTCATTTATAAGACAAAAACAGTGATTTCTTTTTTTAAAAAACTTCTCCTTAACTTTAAATTATGTTAAGATGAAAACACAAAGTTGATAGATAAATCAGAGTGATAAATCAAAAATAAACGAAAAAGCAATTGAATTGTGTGTGTGGCTCTTTATCTTTGTATCTCTGCTTTAGGTCCATTATGTGCTAGACTTCAACGCAACAGTATTACCCTGTCCACACACTGCAACCTCAACTTAGTCTCTACTTTGATTGATGTCTTTGCGTCTCATACCTTCTAAACTATCTATCACAGAAGGAAGAATTTGAGCAGGCACACCCAGTTAAAAACCTGGCATGTCAGTGAAAGACACCCTCATGTTCCATTGTTCTTTGTCATCACGGACACAACAAAGCATGCGCCCATAATCCCCTCTATCTTTTCAATCAATGTTTGCCTGCTTACAGTAGGTATATTTTTAAAATATCTGGTGAGGAAATCATGGATCATAGTAGGTGCTCTCCCAAGATACTTTGACATCCTTTTGAATTTTGCCAGATTCAAACTTATCTTAGTCATTTAAACAACAATAATAACATGCTGTGTAAAGAGTAGTTTCCTATGTCAATCTTAGCTTATACTTCAAAATCAGTGTACCCCAACTAGGCTCAGTAACTTTTAACTAAGTCATTTGGTGATAAACTGATTCTCTCACTGCCTGCATGTTAGTTAGCTATACATATATGATATACTGTCAGGTACATGATATGTAACATTATCAAGGAGTAATGTTGGATCATTTTTTTTATTTTTACCAAGCCCTCCAATCCACAGTATTTAAGTCAGCAGCTACCAGGTTTAGTAGATCGTGTTCTACTAGTCTTTCATTTTCTCAGGGTGGAGCAGTGTTTATTGCTTGGAATGAAGTTAGGGAGTCAACTCTTTTTCTTGTTTACAAGTGCAAGAACTGTGTGGTGGAATGATTTTTCATTGTGCCATATCCTCATTCTTACCATTGAAGAAGCGTGGAGGTTTCTAATTAACCGTTGGCAGGGCTTAAACATGGTTAGGTATGTTTGGTATGTATGTTCAGTCCAAGTTTTATTCAATAAAAGGTAGAGATTGTGAGATACAAATGAGTATGAAATGATAAAAGTTGCCCTCCCAATTATTAATCATAATTTACAGTGTTTATTAGATGTTTATTTTCGTGTGAGTTGATATTTACCTTCCATTTTGTATTTCTTCCTCCTTCTCTCCCTGTATCACTTTCTATCCCTCCATCCTTCTCTCTTATTCCTCTCAGGGCAAAGAACTCAGCTACTCAGAGTCAGACCTCCATAAGCCCAAAAGGTTTGCTACCTTTTCTTTTGGTCTCAGAAAGAAGAAGAAGAAATATGAAGAGAATATCTCTAAGAGCACGTTTGGCCTTCATAGTTCGGGCATTGAAGAGCAAGAGGAGGTAACCCCACTCCTTGAGTCTTGTTTTCCTCAAATTCTCATTTCTTACTTTATAGCAACAGTTATTGTTTTGTCTGATTTATCCATAGCTCCAGTTTGTGTCTCTTATTATCGTTGTGTTTTTCTGAAAGATACACAGGACAATCTTTTAAAAATCCAGAAGGTTTAACAACACTTGTAGCTATTTTGAGGGTATTTCCAGAATCCTTAAAGACTGTGTTCATCTGCTTCACAATGAAACAGATTTGTTTTGGCTCCAGATGGTCATAACCATCTATAAAGTGGCTGTAATTGATTTATACATGTTTTATAATTACAATGTATGAAATGACAATGAAAATCACTCTCACTGCTCTCATAGCATCGTTTTTGCACAGGGCCCAGCTGTTTTCATGAAATAACCTCTAAAACCCCACTGTACACCACCTGGTCAGCACCAGACAGACACAGTTAGCAACAACAGAGTGAACATAGTAAAGCCTTTAGCAGCTAAAGAGCCAGATATTTTTCATAGGTGCTGGTAGAGACCAAAGTGGCAAAAAAACACTTTAACTGTAGATTCAAGGATTCTAGAGAGACTCTCGCCAACAGCAGATGCTGTTTAACGGCTTTCCAGGTTTTTGAAAGATCACAAGGGAATTATTTTTCAGAATGACATAATGTTTGGCCGTGTGGGTTGTAATGATGTCCCAAAAGAGGTACCAACTGGGGCTTGCTAATCCATATCTACAAATGATTATTCCTTCCATTGAAGTACCTAATGTAATTTCTTCATTATTTAATGAGTGAAACTGTAAATGATCTTCTTCTAGCCTCCTCTGGACCTCAGTCAGCTGGAGTTGGACCAGCCTGACTCTAAGATGCTCAGTATGTCACAACCAGAGCTTGACACCAGCGATATATTTGACATCCCTTCTCCTCCCCCTGTAGCCACAAACCAGTCAGAATCATATTTCCCTCTCCTTAACCAGTCGCAGTCATCTGTCGCTATAAACACCCAACCAGAAGCAAAGGAGCCTCTGACAAATGGCTCAGATCTTGTCTATGTGCATGAGGAACTGCAGAGAGCACCGATTGCTACCATTCCTGAACTGCAGCTGGATAATCCAGACTCATCAGAAGAGAAAGAGAACATTCCGGTTCATGATCACTCATTCAAAAGTAATTCAAATGCATCTGCCCTCTCAACTCATACAGAAACCACCTCTGCTGTTGAGCAGACTGCACCTAGCCTTCCAGGTAGCCAGCCTCCAATCATGCTTCACACCTCAGATCACAAAGCAGCAGTTGCTGACTCAGTCTGCACAAGCAACAGCCCGAGTGACAATAACATCCTCCAGCAGTCTTTCACAAACACAGAAACCTCTCTTGCTGAATCCACCAGAGTTACATTCCCACATCATCAACCTGATGCCCCTGACATAGCTGACAGTACAACCCCAAATAGTAAACCCTCCCTAGCGGGTGTTGACTCCAAAGTTGACGCCTCTATTCCAGAGTCAACTCCTGTTCCTCACGCTGACAACTCAGCTCTCAACGCAGATTCAGCTCGTGTCCATCAAGAACTCTCAATTTCTCACACTGAGAAAAGATCTATTCCTGAAACTGTCACCACAACCTCAGCTGATAGCGATGAAAAGCGCGCTCGTCCTGTCAATGAAGATGCAGTTTATGGAGCGTTGTATGAGTCACTTTTCCCTCATAGTTTTACCTCGGGGGTAACGTCATCTCTTTCAACCCCTCCAACTCTAATCCGTACCGAGATAAGACATCTTAACACCAAATCAGAACCTGTTAAAACCCTTAATGAGTGTCACACTGATACTAATTTGATATACTCTCGCCTGTCAACTTCACGTGAGTTTGACTCCGCTGCTGGCAGAATGGATTATGCTGTAAGTGGTTACACTAACATAAATGCCACCTTCAGCGAGAGAAATGTGATTTCTTCTAGTGAGAGCTCTAGATTTACCTCTTACCAAACGTCTAGTGCTTCTGAGCCTTACAGAGACCCAGATATCCACTACAGATATCTACCTTCCTCTCACCATTCAGAATCTGAACCAGTTGACAGCAATAACATTCCTTACTCAGAGCTGACCTGCTCTCTTTCAGAGGTAAAATCAGACCGTTTCAGCCTCAGGTCAGTCCCTGTGGTTCAAAACTCTGCCCCTCCTGTTTCTGACTACGTAACTTCCCCAGGGACAGATACTCCGGTTACTGACTCCATACGGAGAGTGATCCTAGTCAAAGAGTTAGTCACAGACGAGACGAGCACTGATCCTGGATGTCCCTCTCTTGTGCCTGAAAAAATGAGTGCAGCGAAGGGCCTTGAGATAAAAATTGAAGCAACAAAGAGTTTTTCTGCTCCTTCAGGACAGACGGATGGGTACGATGGGCCTTTAAGTCCAACATATCTGAGTGTAGGATCAGATGATAGCAGTGCCATGGAGATCTACTACAGTGCTGAAGAGGAAAATGCAGAGAGTGGGAATGAAGAGATGTACACAGTGGATGAAAGAGAAGAAATTAGCATTGTAGACGGGATGAAAGAAGTTGTCGGGCTGCGTGAGGAGTTTCCACAGCAGGGGGAGATTACAGAAAGACTGATAAGCAAGAGACATGGTGGAGAATTGAGTGTGGTAATTATTAAAAGGCAGAACGAGGTAGGCATAATGGGCGATGAAGAAAAGGAGGAGGACGTCCGCAGCCGAACTGAAGTGCAGCAACAACTAAGAGTTCAGGGTTTAGAAGCTCGAGTGCAGGAAACTGAAACGTCTGAGTTTCTTGTGGGCAGTGATGCAGATAGTCAGGAGAAAGAAGTAGCAACCACAGCGTTTCTACAATTGAAAGAAGAGGGGCAGGAGGAGAGAAAGGAGGAGTTACTGGCCACACCGGTTCAGCAGGTGAACACACTGATGGTATGCGATGTTGCTCCACCCTCCAGTGAGCCACATGGACAGGGGGAAGGGTCAGAGGAAAACTGGACCGAGGAATTGGAAACAGAAGACGCCCCTAATGGAAAGAACCAACTCTTAAGCCAGGAGAAACTATATTTGGCTTACAAAGACACTAGGAGTTCTGAATGTATACATGCTGCTTCCAGTAACGCAAGAGAGGAAGACACAATCACACCCAAATTTAGAGAGACTGAAGAGCAAGTTTCACTTACTGCAGAAGCAGACACAAGAGGTGAGGCAAGTGAAGAAAGCACAGAAACCAGCAGTAACATCGCAACAAGTACAGTCACAGACACTTGTGGTGGAGTAGAGGTTGTCACAGGCACTTTGACACACGGCGCTGAACTGCAATCAGACACCACAGAGCTTGAACACAATAGGGCTCTGCAGAGTAGTGAGTGGGTGGATACAATTACTCAGAGCACAGACAGAACCAGGACTGTGCAACAACAGGTAGCAGTTGAGCTGTCAGCCCCACACGCAGACACACACCATCCTGACACCAAAGCTGCAGACACACTCTCAGAGGGACACAAGCATCCGCCAGAAGCCCAACCTGACCTGAATCAGGGGTAAGTGGAAAATCTTACTATCTTTGAGAAAAAAAAAGGATTTGTGTCTATGGCTGATGTGGAAAATCTTACTATCTTTGAGAGAAAAATCTGAATAAGGAAGTACATTAAGTCTGTGTTTCACTGATAGTTTGCTGTCAATAAAAAATCAAATTTCAGAAAGTAAATAAGGAAAGTGCAACAAGTAAGAGTTATTTTAAGAATTTGTGAATGCTGTCATCTGAAGAATCTGTGCTGGTATGTACAACATGTACCCTAAGGGGTATGTTTGACACACAACGTAGTATTTATTTATTGTTAATGTAAAGGAATGAACTTATGCAGCCAAGATGATGGATGTTAAATGGGAAACCATGACTTTGTCGCCTTACCTTGTCGCAATCTGATATGGCCCTGTAATGTGTGATGGCTAAACATTTCCGCTGATAAAGAGGTCAGCACTTGATAAGCTGTGTTGTTTACCAACACAGCTGCCAACATACCTGTTTAGTATTGAACACATCCTTTTTTAATGCACCACATGTTTAGTGACATAATCGAGCATCACTGGGTGTTATGAGATCTCGCTGTCACATCCCCTCAGCTTCGTGACCTAACTCAGACTGACTAATCCGAGGAGCATGTGTAGTCCACAGGTCACAACCATGTGAGTTAGCAATTAGAACACTAACAGTAAATTGATTGATTTTGCTTGTCCGTTCTATTTGTTTAAAACCTCAGCTATCACTCGGTACAGTAAGGGGTGCAGTATTGATTTGTGGTACTGAAACAATACAGTTAGTTCACGGTCTGGTACAATGCACAATACACTGTTCACAGCTCAGTACACACGAGGGATGGTATGTGACTTGTCCCTCCCAAGCCATAAAATGTCTAGAATGCAATAAATAAAATCTTTAAAGTTGAAAAATAAATCTGTTTTTTACAAGCAGGTAATCTCCAAACACTCTTGTCATAATCAAGGCTTAAACTAATGATTATTTTTTTCTCTGAATAATTTTTTTGATTAATCCTCAAGGTTAGAAATGTCAGTAAAAAATGACAAATGCACATCACAAGTTCCCTTAGGCCCAATTTATTTCATTTTGTGTTTATTTAGCAGGTACAATGTACATTAGATGTTAGAAAAGCTAAATTTCATCTGTAGTCCCAGGGCGGAGGTCACTATGGATAAAAGATCAGTAGCTAGTAGTAGTGATGTCTTTTGGTTACTTATGGACACTTAAATATATTCATTTTACAATAATATTTCTGCTTAACAAATTACATAAATTATTAGTCAATTATCACATTTGTTAGACACATTTTCTGTCAATCAACTAATCGATTAACTGACGAATTGTTTCAGCTCTTATCACATGTGGATGAACACACTACTTCCATGTTGCACTATCCCCCCTCTCCAAGCTCTGATGGTCAGCTGCTGTGCTTTGTTTTCTTTTTTTTCTCTTTTTTTTGGCATGACAGCTACATACTAATTTAATGTTAACAGGAATTCAAACCAACCACAGCTGCTATTGCTCATGAAGAAACAAACCAGCTTTTTACAGCTACCTTTCAAGCCTACAGTGGGTCAGTGTCTCTGACCTCTGAGCCTCCCTAACTGCACTAGCATTTGCTGAGCCTGTACCTAGATGCTGGGGGATTCATGTGTCACACTCGTGATTACAATTTTTTTGGGACTATCACAGGAGCAAAGTCACACAATACTAACGTGTGTTAGCATTGCAGTAAATGCTTACAACTTTAACCAGACTTACTCATAAGATCATGATCCATTTTAGCTCCACTACATGTCCTGACAGCTGTAGCTCTGGGTCTCATGCCAGATTTTAATTCAGAAGAAATTAGGCAAATGTGGTTAAAGGTGATCTTAGTAAGAGTAAAAACAGCTTGAGGTTGTGATCATATAAGATATATGATAAAGTTGCTCTTTTTTGCATAGCAGGATGAGTATTTGAGCGTGCGTTGTTGGGCATAGACATGTTCTTTTGATGCCCTTCTTGTGTCAACGCACAGAGAAATAGGGGTGTCATTTCTGTACCCAAAGGTACATTTGTCAGAACAGTACAGAAAAAGTTGCTTAAGGTGATAACTGTGGATGTTTTTGTTTAATTTTGAAGTTACAAAATCATGGCTGACAGAAAGGGTACAATTCAGTGATGTCGTGATTTAAATAGTTGGAGTTGGTTTTCTTGAAATAAAATAGGCTACTAGTAAAAATGTCCATTCAATTCTTGCTCTGTGTGGCCTGGGAATGATCTAATGAGCAAAGAACTAGCTAACTAACTTCTGAATGGAAGTGCTGTCCTAGTTCTTTGCTCTTTTAATTTTGCCACACAAATGTTTTCAGTGTGTATTGGCAAGTTCACAATGGATCTATTGGAGTGATTTTGTTCATTTATTTAAGTAGCTAATGGTCAGTGTAGCAGGGTGAAATGCTTCCACTAGACATTACCATTACTCCCAATTTTATTTTATTTTATTTTATTTAAGTATTATCAAAATGTTCAAAATGTTTGTTTGCATTCCTCCATGAGAGGATTTTTCTGTATCTAATTGAAAATGGATTTCTGACAAAGACAAGGTATTCTGTGGATTTTGTGGCACTTGATGTGACAGGTTTGATTGATGTATCTTTGCAGAAGATGAAACTTTATCTAAACACAGCAGGATCTTAACTCACACAACAGAAAGGAAAGCTTTAATCTCCCTCACAGTATTCACAACAAAGGGGGGATTTTACTTACCATACATGTACCACAAGAATTCATAAATACAAAAATCCTCTTTGCACATAATATAAACTGCCCTGAAGTTGTTTGTGAACAGGAATGGTGTGTTTAGTCTTTAGATCACTAAAGATGTTGCTGATTGGTGATAGTATGACTTTATTAGTAGTAGTAGTCAAGTATGTCAGATTATTAGGCAACCTTTCTGCATTATATTGTTTTGTATTTTTATAACCACAAGATGGCATCAAAGATATATCTTTTACTAGTGAGTGGAAGGCACTGGGTTTCAGATTGCCATAGTACAGACATAAAAAAGGAAATGGTGTAGCTTTGTTAAGCCTCAACTTTATAGTCATCTTTATATTCATGCATTAAATGGTTTTTATATGCTAAACAGTGTTCTGCTTTGGTAGAACTGGCTGAATTATACCGGTTACTCCATGCCAAATGGCACCAAATGGTGCAAGAATGACTTTCAGCAAAGGAGGTGGTTAGTGCTGAAGGTTTTTTCAATTGTATGTCTGTGTGTGTGCATGCTTCTCTATCATCACTTTCATTTTTTATTTTTTTATTAAGAATCTGCCAACAAACAAGTTGTTTCCCTTCTACACTTAAAGGTCCAGTGTGTAACATTTAGGTAGAAATTGAATATGATAATCATAGGTATGATTTCATTAGTGAATAATCACCTGAAAATAAGAATTGTTGTATTTTCGTTTCATTAGAATGAGCCCTTCTATGGAGTTGGCTAGGTTGAACTGCAATGTGTCTACAGTAGACCAGTATGGACTGTAGACAGGGCCTTTTGTGTTTGTTTGCAATCTTCCATCTCACTATAGATGCCACTAAAGTCTAAATCACACTGGTCCTTTTAAAACAAAAGTGATCAACAGGAATGTTGTCTGTTTTTAATGCACCACATGTCAAGTGATATAGTCCAGCATTATTGGGGCGTTTTAAGCTTTGTGTGTAGTCCACAGATGCTTACTGAAAGATGAGGCATTTGCCAGCCATACCTGTCCTACAGGGTTCTTCTGTAGTGGTGTCATGAGGAGTGATACATATTTAGACTGGGAATCCCACCCACCTCATAGGCTCCAGTGGTTAAAAAATGGCATGTTTTGTTATTTCCCCAGTAAAAATGGTATCACATCATTAAGGCTGTTTTTTGTTTAAATTTATGAAAGTCCCCTTCTTTCATTTTAAGTGTTTTTCTCTTTAATAAAATCTGAAAAGGACACAGGTGTATTGACATGTTTGTGGTTGGATGAGATCTGAAGCCAGTTGAGCCACTTGTAAGTCTTTACTCAGAACTCTGCCTGTCAGCTTTGTCCTTTTTTTTCCTTCCTTGTGTGACTTGACTGGCTAATGTCTGAAATATTACTTGAGACAGAAGTGGAATGACAAACTTGTGGAACTACCTCTGTTGTAAATCACCTTCTGTCTGCAGAATGTGGAGGTTGAGTTGTCCTGACAGAAGTCATCTTCACAAAGACTGCCTTTTAACATAACAAGGTCTTAGGCCAAGAGTCTGTCGAGGTCACTTTAGCAGAGGCTATCCATTTTACACCATTTTAGTATGTATCACTAATCAAAGCAATAGAATCTTTCTGTTTGGATTTTCTCACATCAGAGTCAGCTTTAGGTTGTTGTTATACTCTTGACAAATGGCCGCCAAGTAGGAGAACTGTATCTGTATACTGTATCTTTTTTAACTGAAATCAGGAAAACAACTACAGATATATATTTTTCTATTTTAAACATTCCTCTTACATCTAGTTAAATCTAGTAACAGCATTGCCCACATTGCAACTTGAGCATTGAGATTCGGGTGTGTTACGCTAGTAGCAGCCAATGTGGCCATGAGTTGCTAGCCTTAAGCAGAAGTGAGGAATGGGCTAGAGAGGTCTGTTAAGCTCACATTGTGTAAACTCCGCACCTTCAATTTTTTTTCATTTTAAACCTGCAGTTTAAACACCCAACCGATGCTGACTCAATTGACATCACTTGAGGCAATTTATCAGATTTGTCACACAAAAACCTTTTTTATACTGTCTGGATAGGATGGTCAATGCTAATGCTTCATGAACTGGTGTGAGGGCAGTGTAGTAACAACTAGACTTGTTAATAATGGTCAGTCAAGACCAAATAGTTGTGAAGTTTTTCTGGTTGCAGTCACCTTTAAACTTGAACCTCCTACTTGAGGTCAGTCAAGCTACAGGGCTTGCTGGTGTTTGACAGCCACACAGATAGTTGGCTTGCATGAATCCAAACAATCACAAGTCGCACTACTTTGTACTCAGTGAACCCTTCTTTAATTCCCTGTAGATATGTAGAGAGAAACAAGGCCAAACAAGTACTAGCATGTAAACCACATACTCTTTCATATTTCCATATGAATTATTTTAAAAAGCAATCGACCAGATCTGTGATTATGGAAGGAATCACATTTTGCCTTTTGGCCACTCATTTGAGTTGGCTGCAGCCTGCACGTGTGCTACTTGAGTTCATCTGTTTGCTCAGAACTCCACCTGGCAATAGTTCAAAATCAATATTAACAAAGGCTCCACCCTGAGATGGACTCTTTTCAGTGTGTTTCCAGTGTATATGTTTAATGTTAAAGCAACATTATGCAACATTTTGACACATTTCTGCAAATGTATTACATTTAGCACTCCGAATTTCAGACTGCAATTCACTTATACACTTGTATGGACAGCTGTAAACGTGCATTTGTTGTTATTACATTATGATCAAAAACATTGCTAACACAGCTAAACATCAAATGCAACAATACAATACATAGCAAACAAGCATATATTACTTACTAGTCCAACAGCAACAACTTGGCATCTGTCTTGCAGCCTTTTATTTTGTGAAGTTCTTGCCAACGACTAAAAGGCCAGCCTTTCTTTTTGTCTTCTTAACTTCCTCAGTCGTCTCTATTCCCCTCTGCCATGCTCTCTGCCTTACGTTGCCCACTCGCCCAGCTCTCTTCCTAGTGCCTGTTCCAGTGTCACTCCAGTTCTGCATTCCAGGTCCCAAAGTAGGACAGACAGAGGCACCATTCACCCTATTACAGCCCAGTGTAGCGTCCAAATGATTTTGAAGCTGTTATTTTAAGGTAGAATAGTTTCATAAAGTTAATTTACTACTGCTGTGTTTTGAATCTGCAGCAATGTTTCTATGTGTTTTTTTTTTTTTGGATAGAGTAAAATATTCTAAGCATCCAGTAGGCCCTACCTTTTGCATGCACATTGTTGTCATTCTCAGACCTAGAGATGCCTTGACATGGGGCCAGTCCAAACAAAAAGAAAGCTTTACACTGTTGTTTGATGGTGTTTTAGGTGATATCTGCAGTATGTATGTTGACTACTGCTGATCTCCATCCCCCCAACCCCCATAGTAAAACGAAGATGTTGGAATGTATTTGTAGGATGTTAATCAGTAGAGAAAGACGAGTATTTGCTGTTAAGAAAAGTTAAACATTTACTAAGAAATTACATGAAGGCAGATGCTATTATTTGATCCTCAGTACTGCATAACCAAGTGGGTCAGAGACCCACAAATTATACCATGTTTATACATAATTACATGGGACATTTTCCTTTCATGTGCAACACTCACATTCCCAAAACTGAGCATCACTCTGTGTACTAGTACATATGGACTTGGGGGGCTGGTACATGTTCTAGCACATGATTTATAGGTGTGTCTATATATTTTCACACAATGTCCCTGCACCTGCAACTTAATATATTAAAGCACTGCATGTGCCTGCTATCTAACTATCTGCCTATCTGTCTGCTCACCTGCCTCCCTGGGTCTCATTGTGTCAGAGGTGTAATAATTTAATTTAAAATTAATGTACATAATTTGCATATTACAGTGAAGTCTAAGAGGAGGTTTAGGATTGCTGCCAGAATGTGCAAGTGCCCTCAGAGAAAGGTGTGGTTCTGAGCAGCAATGTACTCACAATGTCCCAGGAGGTCTTCCACCTCGGTGACTAAAGGCATAATTTCCACTTTGGAATGGTGGGTGAGGGGGCATGTCCCTCTCGACCCACAAAGATACAGATGGATAGCTGTGGTGAAGGTTGTTTGAGCTCTATGCGACTGTATGCGATTCTTCTTTTATTATACTGCCATTATACTACTATTATTTAAAGCACACTGGCCAATATATAAAAAAATTATTATTTATTAAATTGATTTAATGTAAATATAGTCTATAGCATAATTAATTGTGTCCCCCACACTTCTGAAATCAAACCTTTGTCTTTCAAGTTGTTTAAAAAATGATTGACAAGAAGATATTAAAATGTCGGCCTGTGGGATTTCTAGATTATTATTCTAGATAAGAGTTCAGCAACAAAGAGTAACTGCCTTTTGGCTGAAAAATATCTAGATCCATTCTTCTATGCAAGAGAAAACCACCATGTTAAGGTTTTCATGAACACTGTCTCTGTTCATTACCTTTTAGTTGGATCTGCTGAACCAATAGTTTGACTATGACTCAGTCTGTGTGGTCAGTGTGTAGAGACGAGTGTGTTCAGGGCCACTGATACTCAAATGTTGTGCACCCATGCACTTAATGATGCTTTGCCTACCTATGTACAGTCACTTGGAAAAGGTCCTCAACACCTGCACATGCTTTATGTGAAATAAAGATTTATTTCCTAATTTACATCAAATACTTGGCTCAAAAAAACATTTTGATTACATTCGTAATATTTTCTATGTTCAAATGGCATATCTGGCAGGAGAATAAAGAAATAGCATGTCTGAATGTGACCTTTACAAAGTTTGTTTTCGTGAGAAACAGCCAATGCCGTTAATTCACAAAGGTAATTAAGGTCTCATGACATTTGAATAATCCACCCCAGGCATTACGCTCATGTGTGTCACCTGATTGAACGCAGGTATTCACAATGGGCATTCTTTGGGTAGTTTCATGACCTTTTGTCATTTTTTACCCACACAAAACCTTCTGCCATTTAAGTATACTAACATAATATACTTTATAATCTTGCCCCTCCTGCCTTACCTGCTATGCAGAGTGAAGAGTTCTAATGATCTATGAAAGGTCAAATGATTCACTCAAAATTACTAAGCTGACTGTGCCAGGTTGTTTGTTACACAGAGCCGTCTGGGAAATCTTTATTAGAAACTGTTTAGAAAAGGGCAGGCTCTTTCGAAAACAAAATTCTACAGGTGATTGAATGAACCAACAACTGTCACATCAACGATTAACAAACCATATAATCCAGTCAAACTCTTACCAAAGTCAATCGGGAGAAAAGCAAAAACATCTTTTTCATCAAGAAAAGCCTTCAGTTCCATTCTTTGCTTTCCTTTAATGAAGAAATACTCTCCAGTTCTGATACAACCAATGCTAGCAGCATCTAGGCTAACCTCTATAGGAGCCACAATTGCTTCAGTCACTTCGCACACACACTGTTGCACACACCTAGTGTTAAACCACACCTGTAGCTCATGCTGTAGCTGCCAGTAGTGCCTCAAAGGATGCTGATTGATCTGTGGTTCGGACAAAAGCGAAGCCTGGCAAGAACAGCACTGATGGCTTTTTTTTATGGAAAATATGTTTTTGCTCTTGTCCCGACTGGGTTTAAAGTAAATTTAAAAAAAAGTTATACACCAAGTCAAACTCTTAACTTTAGAAAGCTCCCTCCGGAACCATGGAAGACCCAATAGAAATGTATCTAGATTGAGTAGTACTCCTCATGACGAGTAAACTCAACTTCATGTATTGACTTTGAGTAACCTCGAGTTGTCAGCTGACAGTGTTTTGCTTATTTGCACATGATCCTCCTGAGACAAACCCATTGTTGTTTTTATGACCGTGTTTATGCCTCAAGTTAGTCCAGCTGAAACTTTTGTCAGCTAAATTCTTTACTGCATTTAAATTATTTCCCACATTAAAATGTTTCACTGTATTGTTCTAAACTCACCCAGTTTCTACAAGAAATTTCCAATTATTTCAACTATTACATTTCAGAAATGCAGATTACAAATTACTCAAACACTTGTTGCAATTATGAGGCCTTTATAAACTTTGTTTGACATGCGACAAGATACTCACAGTTGCTTTGTATAATTTGCGTTGTTGGCATGACATGACAACCACACCCTGGAGGCACTGCAGCACTTGATACACTCTGGACCAGTTACCAAATCAGACTCTCGTTCTGTCTTTTCCATTTTGTCATCTTTGCCTGTTTTTTTCCTTTTCTCTGTATTTATTCAGGTCCCTGACAGCTTCAAGGACACCCACGGCAGCTTCAGAAGTCTTTGCTGCAGAACATCAGCCCACTAAAGCTCACCAGGAATCGGTTGACAAAATGAATTCAGGCTACAGCAGCCTGAGCACCAAACTATACATAAAGAATTCATCTCCCCCTAGAGAGGATGAATCCAAACATCGTGTCCGTAAAGTATCTCTGATCAATGAGTCTGATGCCACTGAGGCTAGCCAGGATGCAGTGGACTTTAGCACAACAAGCACCACTGTGACTGAATTAAATGGAGAAGATCCTGAGTTCAAATGGAGAAATAAATTTGAGGGGGTTTCTCAGTATAAACCGTACAAAACAGAAGATTATTCTTTTTCTGATTCTCTGAGTTACAGAATGTCTGACAGCTACTTTGGTACCTCCTCCTTGTCCTCCTCCTCTGCTCTTTCCGAGGCTACGACATACAAATATCATGGCAACGCCTTTTCCTCCTCCTCCTCCTCCTTCTCCTCCCCCTCTGCAGAGGAACACATTACCCTTGACGACAGGCTGAATGACAGGACTGAAGTTTATCTGAGCCGTGAGAGCGAGCTGGCGGGAGAGCAGAAAGATGAGTGGAGGAGAAGCTTAGTGGAGCAGGAGGAGCCTGCTGCACCTGCAGGTGAAAGAGAGCCACAGAGAGAGGGAGAGGCAGAGAGCATAAAGTCACGCTGGGACTCACAACAGCTCCCTGTGTCCCGCCTCTCCTCAGCACAACAAACCAGCTACGACTACACTGACAGTTTCAAGGAGGAGGACGACGACTCATCCCAATTTACTGGAGTGTTCCAGGCCACACTCGTAGATCTGGTCTCCGACCCCGCAGCTCCCCTCTCCACTCCCCCTGCCTCCCCCGACGCTGACTCCCCCATTCAGTTTGACATGGATAGCCTGGTGGATACCCTGAAGAGCATGGCACCTTCCCTGAGGCCGAGGAGCACGGGCATACGTGCGCCTCCTCCGGTCCTCATCTCCTCCCTGCCACCAATTGTCGAGGATGCTCCCAGCCCTGTCACCTCTGACATCCCTGCCTTCCTCACCAGTCCCACAAAAAAGATGGAAGCAACTGGCAAGCCTGATGAGCCCCTCAACGGACTTTACACTCTGCCTGCTGACCTGGGACTAAAGAGGAGCTCTCCCAGAGACACTCGTTCACCACTGGAACTGATGAAGCTGAGCCAGCAGGTATAGGTCATGCAGTCAGTAAATTGTCTTTGCTTAATGAAAACCTTCATATCTCCAAAATGCAAACTTTCCAGGGTTTTAAAAATGCAACATGGTTTTTACTAAACAATGATGAAATGATTTGTATCCTTATTGCATGGGGCAGGGAAATCTACATGTAGGTTCAGGACATAACTATATTATTTAATATTAATAATATATTAAATAATAATAAATAAGTTAATATTGTAATTACAAAAAACTTATTTTCACTCATCTCTCTGTGGTTTATTCTAAGAAGGGACAGAAAGTGTGTTTCCATTCCCTTTTTTATGTACATCTTCAGTTAGGGCATGAAAAAAAGTCAAAAATGTGTTCCTTAGCTGAAGTCAAAAAGTTGGTATATTGATTTTTAAAAATGCACTGGAGTGCAATGGAAGCCGGAAAAGTTGCAAATGAATCATGACACTCCCCGAAAGAGACAAAAACATCAGGTCTGTGTGGGCTAGTGAGGAGACTCCTCAGTTAATACATGAAACTGACATAAATGCAGTACATCATGCTTTCAACATGGTTTTTCATAATTTGAGGTTTGACTGGTGCATTTTTCTCATTATGTCTCTACCTCTTCTTCTGCAGTAGTTTAATGGCACTGCACTGGAGAATTAGCACCACCAACTGTTTATCATCATGCACCCAACTCTTTATATTTGCAAACAGAGAAGATAAAAGATGCAGATGCTAATATTTTGCATCATGGTAGAGACAAATATCTCAAATGCCACTAAACATACAACTAAAACCAAAACATGACTATACAGTAACTTTTTTTAGGAACATGTGTTTTTTGGTTTCTTTGTTTTGTGGTTTCATGAACCAGCCCTTTAACGTATTGCTGTTCTTTATTGCATGTGCTCCATCACCTGCAGGACCAGCAGCAGCCTGGAACCAGAGGTCTGAACTTGCCCCTGAGAGCATCTGCTACCAACAGCATTGTAATGAGAAAATCCTCTGACTCTTCTCCTGAGGACTTACAATCCCAAGTGCTCAATGGAAACGGAGTTCTTCCGTCTTCCAGCACTGGCTCCCGCCTAGACAACAGTGTCATCTTTGGAAGCCTCAGATCAGCATCCATAGATCAGACATTGGAAAACAAACAGGCCAATCACTCACTCTTCCACACCAGCTCCCTACCTGAAACAGGGTCTTTAAATGATCGCATGAGTTTGGGACCGAAGGAGGTTGAACTGGGCACTGGAACAGACCCAGTGGGGTCCCGCTTTGACCGCTTCTCCTTCCTTTTGAACTCCTCATCCTCCACATCAGGCTCCTTGACCGGGATTGAAGACTCCTACGCTCGTCTGAGTCGGCCTCCACAGCCGAGCATCAGCTCGCCACCCTCCAGCAACAGTCCCACCCGCCTCCTCAGTCCCACTGGCTCCATAGACCTCCAAAGGCCATTTACCACCACAGACTCTCCCCTATCAATGTTTAGCCAGACACAAGGGATAGGGGTAGGTGTAGGTGTAGGTACTGGGGGACTGGGCACTCACATCCTGCACAGAAGCTTCAGTAGTGAGGACACCATGGGGGTCCAGCAGACTTCATTGTTCAACAGTGTGCATGGAGGGTCTCAGTTTCAGAGCCAAGAACCTGAGAGGACTTTAGTATCGAAATACAGAGCCTTCCCTGATGCTTATGTGAGTATAACTAGTATGGTCTTACTATATTACTATAGTATTATACTAAGTGCTAAGTACTATTCACATGATAAGTGACAGGTAAAGTTATATGAGTTGCACAAGCATGAATAATGTAGTTTTATTCACTCCAAAGCAAAGGTAAGTGAAAGATGCAGCAGTCTGTCTTTTTATTTCACACTTTAACAAAAGATAAGTCCCATGTGCACAGCATGGAGGCATTTGCAGTCAGTAGAAGGTTGCGGCTAGCTATGTCTGAGGTAAAAACATCAGAAAGAAAATCCTCTACATATATTTATGCCTTTGTGCAATACATGTGTTTACTTATTCTCTAGGCAGTTCTTAACCTCACTCTCAGATCTATTCTTGTCGTTGTCAAAAAAACAGACAGACAAACAACAGGTCAGCTTACAATAGGTTCATACGTGGTTTCCTGTGCAAACTGGAAAACTCCCTCTGTGTGTGGCATTTGTTTGTGTCTATATACCTTCACATACTGTAACATGTACCATTTATAAAGCTTCTTAATTTAAATATTTGAGGAGCATCAACTGTCATTAAAAGTGGATGTGGCTGCAGATGCTTCCAGTAACACCCAGTGCTTCAAAAGTGTCAAAATGGTCCTTTAGTAGGCATGCATTGGCAGTAGTCAGTGGTACATGCTATTCCCACTAAGCATCACAAAATCACACAAAAAAAGGGTGTGTATACAGCTTCATGTTCACACATGTATGCACTTGTTCTCATATGCAAGAATTCATATGGGCTTTGACTGATTAGGACATGTCTTAAAATTAGATTAACTGGCAAGAGAGAGAATATCTACTCACACATGGTGATGCACACACTCTCTCTTTACTGGCCTCTTTTTGTCAAGACATGCAAACTAATTCTGGAGCACACTTTCAGTTTTTCTTTTTTTACACCTCAGCAAAGAAACCACAAAATGTTGTTTTTACGCTCAGACATTAACCATTAGAATTAAGTGCAGAGAGCATGCCTAAAGTTAGGAAACACAACAGCTACAGAAGTAACCCCTGAGGGAAGATTGAGGTGTTGCGACAGGCAGTAAAACCAGATACTTACATTATGTTTTTGTATAATGAACATCTGTGAAATATATCATTTGTTGATGTTTTTTTTCCCATGCATTAAAGTGGTCTTATTTCTATCCATGCAAATACAAAACAAGTTAGCTGGATTCTAGAGGTGTAACTACTCATTAGACTCCAGCTGTCTTTTGTAGTTTAAATACAATTGTTTGCACAGGATGTTTGTTCATACAGTATTGTTCAAACAATACTTAGTTTGCTTCTGTGATGTTAAGTAGTATGGCTCCAGTGGCTACTTTTTCCAGGCCAAAGCACACACCATGACCACAGCTCACATTACTGACTGGGTCACTGAGACGGATACTAACTTCATATGTTGGGTTTGTGCTTCTAAAGATCTGTGGAAGGAAATATTATTGCAGTAGAACAAACTTTTTAGACTTTTTTATAGTTTTAAAGTGTATTTTCTGTCAGGACTACTAATTTACTGCACGACTAATGAAAAAGGTAGGGAGAGCTATGTCATCACACTACGAATGCATAAAGTTGTATAAAGCATTCCTACCTGTGATTACTTGCAGGTTTCCACCCAGGACGTAGTTTGTTTGATCTGCATGTGAAGTCACTTGTAGAACTAAAAAGGCTAAAAGGTTATAATGCTATAATATTGTACTACAATGTAGGTTTTTACATTGTGTAGAAACTTCACTACATTCTCTCACTCTACACTCACTACATGTCTGATCTAAATGGTACTGTTTGTTTAAACAGAATTATATAATCTAACATGTGAATTTATTACAGTCTTGTTCAAAGGGACCCAGACAATTAACTGGCTTCCATCAGTAAAAGTAGTGTGTTAGTGTCCTATTATGACATGGGTGTGAACAGGGATGTATTTTACAGCTTTATCCTGCTTTGCTCCTGTCAACTGAAAAAGAAGTGGTTAAAAATTGATAAGGTGTTGTTTGTATTTAAAAAATAAATGAACTACTCTGGGAAGAGAGAGCATTTGGAACAAAAATACACAGCTATTAGAGAATTGTGAACACGCTGCAGGGCTAATGCTTATCTCTGTCACTGCATTAATAGGTTTACATGCTGTAAACTCCTTCATGCATTCAAACCATCAGTGGCACTTCTTCAGCTGCTGGGTGTGAGACCTCTCAATCACTTAATCCTGGCAGAACACTTTCTGCTCCTCTCTGTTTTTTCTGTTTCTGTCCCCATTGGGCTCCCCACCCATCCCAGCTATCTGTCTGTTCCTGCAGAGACATAGCCACACCTTGCTTTTTGTATTCATCCTCACATTTCTCTACTTGTTTGTTTGATATTTGATGAAGTAGAGTTGACAGGGAGACATTAATGGGGGCGGGGGTCAGAGAGAAGGTGACAAAATGATTATCTGTTCCCTTCCCTGAGGTTTAATTTGCTTTGTGCAAGTATATGCAGCACATGTTCTTGCATTTTTATTTTTTTTGAAAATGTGATTTGCTGAAACGGCACATTCCATCTGTGGTAACTAATTTTATGGGAGAGCAGATCTTGTGCCCAGGCTCCTGGGAGGGAAGGGAACAGAAGGGGGAAATTGTTCTGTTGGAGTTTATGTTTCAGCCTGGCATCATGAAAGCAGTAAACACATCACACTCCATGAATGATGCAGTTGTTTGACCTTGTTTTGAGCTGCATAGTGACGTTAAGGAGCAAGTGTGTAGGTGAAAATCGTACAGAGACTTATACTTTCAGCAGGTACAGCATTGACAGTATTGCATTTGATATTTTTAGTCTGGGGAGTTAATTGCAATTTAAAATAGTCTAATTTTCAAATTGCATGCACTGCAAGCATTCAACCTCCCAGGTAGCATGTGAAAGTTTAAGCCAGGAATTGTTGATTTCACTAGCTAGCAATAGTGTTAATGTGAAATCGGATGGGTACAGTGAAGTGTCATCAGTTAGATATCAAACCAAATATTGTCTGAAGAGACTTATCAACAGTTTGTCTTTTTTAAGGTAACTGTCCAACTATGCTTCTTTTATCAATAAATTTAACAACATGTTTGAATGTCATAATTCAATTTGAATAATTTATTAAATAATCATCACAGAAAATTGCAATCGCTACTGTATATTAGTCAGAAAAATAGTATTCCTCAAATCATTCAGCCCTATCTTAGGCTTTCCTATTACCTGACTGTCATTTACATTTGCGTTTATTCTTTTGTTTATCTTTTGTGTTGTTTATGTAACTGAGGCTATGATTTCAAGGCAAACAGTCAGTACAGTTTTACACTGCCTGTAAATTACCTGTAAGCGAAACCTGTGAGACCGACTCAAGTGTCGCAATCAGACAGGTATGTCTGTTGTTTGTGTTTGTCACTCATCAGTTTGGATCAGGTTTTTCTGCCCAAAAGCATCAACATAAAGTACAGTATGTTACGATGACATTCTAGAGGAATATAAATGTTGACATTTAGTCTTTATTCTTTATGCAATATGATAGCATGTTGTGACAACATTATTTAGTAGAAACTGTTCTACCCATGGTTGCATTTGGATGTAAATACAAGTCAATTCAAATTAGAAGCAATACATATTATTTGCGCTACATGGAGAGAACTTATAGGCATTAGTTGCATTAGGCATGCTGTTTGGTGTGAGGGTTAAAGAGGTTTCTTTTAAATGTTTGACTCAAAATGAAACCACAATTGCAGGAAATTGACAGGGGGAAGGAAAGTCAAAGCTTTTTTAATTTGGTTCTATGGTGGGAAACGCCATTCTTAGTGTTGGTGTTGTGTGGTATGTCTGTGAACAGTAATGAGTCATTCTTTTATTTACTAGGTCAATGCTGAAAAGGCACCAGACAGCCATTCAGCCCCCCAGCAGGCTTTCACTGAGTGTAAAAAGATGTTCTGTTGCAGTTTAGTAAAGGCTGAATGCTATTGTGTCAAATAAGGTTTGTTAAATTTGGCTGACATTCATTATTTTTTCTCACAATCTATCTAATAAAAACATTTGTTAAATTAAATTAGGGTATGGATGGACACTAATGAGAATGAGTTGAAATAGAAGCTTCTGTAGGAGGCCCTCTTTGGTTGGTAACATGAGCCAGATGATAACCTGTTTCCTACAAAGCTTCCAAAGAGTAGAGGCCAAGTGATACCTGAGATCCCCCTCACACACACACACACACCAATCTCTCTGGGCTAACATGCTAACACATTCCAATTTGCACAAGTAAACATCCCAAAATTCCAGCAGCATTCCAGCCGAGATAAGAGAATCGGAAATGTGACAGAAACAGTGACTAATTCATCACTCACTAGGTGCATCGACAGTTTTCAGAACAGACCTCAAGTAACCACATTCTGTTGATATCAGTGGGAGTAGTAAAGAAAGCATCAAGTCAAACAAGTGCATGGGGAGGAATGTATTTCCACATCTCAAAGAGGTATGGGTTTTGTCATGAGGGATGCCCACTATTCTCACTTCTCTTCACTGACACCCCCTTAGAAGTCGCTGAACCGGCTGTCATAAAAAAGAATCATAATGATTGATTAATTAATTTACATACAATCGAAGGTACAAACCGGGTGTAACGTAAATGCTTGCTGAGGTTGTGGCATTATTGCACTTTATATCTGAAATTATATATTGGCTTGTGTTACTACAACTAAAATAGATGTTATAGGGTGGAGTGTAAGCTTGTATACTGTTGCTCAGTTGGTGTTGAAATGCATTTTGTATTTTCACATATATAGTCAATATTCCTGTTATTTGTCATATTTTATTTTATATTCAGCATTGCACCTTTTATCATATCAATGAATTGTTTCAGGATGTCAAACATAGGAAAAAGAAAAGAAAATGATTTGCTAAAATATATTTTTCTTTGCCTATAGCTCACCAAAGAGAAGGAACATGGGAAGCTCAATCCTCGTCCTGGAAAGGTGAGTCTCTTTTTCTCAACCACAATGACAGCTGCTTTCACTGATTAACTTAAACCTGGAACCGGGAAATAATATCATCACTGCGAGGGCTGTTTCTGTGGAATTTGATTTTCAGTCGCTATCATGTAAACTGTCAGTATATAACAAATGTAATTGTACAGTAGTTTGATATAAACAAACTGCAAAGATATTTTGTTACAGAGGCTTTCTTGTGAATCTCAGTGTGGGCTGTTCATGTGGTCTGGCATTATGCTGTTACTCATCCATTCATTTACTGAGTACACAGCTGATTTACCTTAGGGGGAAAAGTTATTGGTACAAGACTTTCACTCTACTTCTTTCGGTTAACATGAGTCCTATTTCATAATCTTCTTTCAATAGAAGCAGCAGACTCTCTGGCTAAACCCTTTGTTCATCGCTAGATAACCAAAAACTTCTGTGGAATTTAAGACCGTGATTGATGCCGTTAAACTGCATACCTGCTACTTTTGCCTATCCCAGGCCACGCACATTATTAACTGTTAAATGTCAGGCCTGCTCCTGCATGCAGCTGAAGAGCGTACTTTTTCTCACTGAGATTGTCCATGTAGACTCCTGAATGCTGGAGGTGGAGCTGACATTTAGGTTGAGCTCCTAGGTACTCTTCCATGCTTAAGGGCCTCAGACCTGACTGGGCTAGACGTCGGTGCCCTAGATGTGAACTGGTTTCCTTAGGAAGCTGCTGTTCTAAAATTCAACATCAAGAAACAAAGAACTTCCTAGAGGAAGAAAAGTATTAACTTGCATATGTAGACTAATTTTAGTACTACATTTATTATTGTTTTAAATATATTTCTTTATTTTACTCTGCTTTATCATGTTGCAAATGCTATATGCTGTATGCTATATGCATTGGTCAGGAGGACTAATGCTACTGTGCAACTCTTCTGCCTTACTGTTGTACAAGGTTGGCCTTAGGGGGGTGAGCATGAAATGTAAGATTCATGCTTGAATATGAAACTGGAGCTAATGCCACTGGATAGATATTGGCTTCATTCTTTAATTCCATGACCATATAAAGGATTCTTCAGCAGCACAGGTTGAGCTCTTGCCTGCAGTGATTCTTTATCATTACTGTAATGTTATCCAGTGTACCACTGTATCATTCTCACTGCCCTAGTAAATGGCTGCTAATATTAAACTTGATTTTCTAATCACCATATTTTATTAGATGATTGTCTCCCTTGGCAAAGCTTTAGCTCCTAAAGAACTTTAAAAAAATGTTTTATTGAGGCTGCAGAGCTGCATAGTGTGCAGGGAAACTCCCTTCAGCCACACAGACTTCACACCTGTGTTGGCAAACATCTGTCCTGCTGAAATGAGCAAAATACGTGACTCCCTATCATCTATTCTTACATCTATACATGTTTTCTCTAGATGTATATCTTTGACCGGCCAGGGATGTGTGGCCAGAGGATCGAGGTACGTGGTGACGTCATTGATGCTACGCCATGGGAGCTGCAGGAGACCATCTCCATCAGGGTCATCAGGGGAGGGTGAGTGGTTGAACTGCAAACACTTTACACCCGTTTTTGCTACCCAAGATTTTTCCTTAAATAGAACCAGGTAAAGAGTCTGTAGTTGTGTCCCAATTCAATGCATGCAGTATAAGTACTATACACTAGTATATTGTTTTGCAGTATATAAATCTGTATACTTTACTGTTTTGTACTTAGAAGAAATTACCTAAAACTTGTTCCACTGTGCCAAAGAGACAGCAAAATACCCCTCAGAAGATTTATTGGTCTTATATGGTTTTAACTGTTTCACCCACCATTGTTATTATTATTATTATTATTATTTTTTCCAGCTGTAAGGAGCTCCTAAATTTCCGTCAATCAACAGCATGTTCAGAAATAAAGCCTACATTTTCTAGTATAGTATGCAGACAGTATACTTTATTAAGCTGCTACATACTTAAGATCTGCTTAGAGTTAGTATGGTGTTAGTACACAGCTATCGTCTAGAATTAGGTTGTGTTTGCTTCATATGTGCTCTGCAGCTTATTGAGACCAAAAACAAATACCAATTCTCATGCTATAGCCACATATTTGGCACTTTAAACCCAATATATTCTCCTGAGTTCTTCAAAGTTGCAAAGCCAGATGGAATGACTCCTTCACATCTTGTTTTTCTTGATATGTGAAGTGTGTCACGAAACATTGCTTTTTCAAAATAAACCCCTGCCTCCAGATGCGCTCATGTGGCATAAAAACAAAACGCCTATTGATGCACTGTGAACGCTGCAAATGCCTTCAATAGTTAACACACCCATACGTGACCTTAAATACACACTTGCCTCAGATGTGGAATGTTTCATCAAACACAGCCAACAGTGTGACCTGCAGTAACACTGATGGTGCTGCTCCGACCTGCACTACTAACACCAGGCTAACGCTTGCTTGGCTTCCTACAAAGAGACAATTAAACTGTCAACTCACTCATCACGCTGTGCACCACAGCCCAAACCACAGCTAATGCCATAATTAAGGAGTTTTAAATAAGTTGTACCCTATTAAACCCAGACTTAAACTAAGCTCTAGTTTCTTTTATTAAGAGATTTACTTTGGTCAAGCAGCACTGTGCTGAAGTAAAAATATGGAATGTGACTGTTTCCATTTGATGCTGCTTTCTACTTCTAATTCATTACATTACGAGTGAAATTTTTTTTTTAAATTCCAGATTGCCTTTTTACATTCAAACCATTGGATAAGCTTATAATAGAAGAAGGCATTCAGTGGTCACCCCTTACAAAAAATGAGTTTTTTGGGGCCCCTTGTCATGTTTCAGATGTCTGAGGTGTTAGAAGTTCCCTCTTCAAAGACTTCTTAAATGGTTTATAATTATTATGGGATAATGCTAAATGCAGAATTGTAACAGGAGTCACAAAGTCAGTGAGATGTAAGTGTACTGGTCATACTAGACCAAGTGAGGCGGTAATAGTAAAACCACTGAGTGTATTGGATTGGTCTTGTCTCATTGCTTATTGATTCAACTTTTCTCTTTTCGTGTGTAATAGGAAGAAAGTGTTGTATCTTCTTTCAAAAGTGACATAGCCTCATATTATATATATATATATACATGCATACATGCATACATGCATACATACATACAGCATACATACATACATACATACATATACCTATATACATAAATAAATATAATCCTCAGCAGCCTTTTTACTAAATCAAATGACAAATTAAACAGTAGCATAATGGAGTAATGACATACAGAGCCCACCATGTGTGAACACTGTTTCCATAGATTTCAAAATATTGTTGCAGCCATGTGATGCAGAGTATTTACATTATTTATAGTATTTAGTGTAGTATTTACAATACATCAACAGGGTCAATGAATTTTATAACAGAAGCCCAGAACTGCAACACAGATCATAACTTCTAACCTTGTGCCCCTTCATTGCCCCTTTAACCCCCCCAGATGGGTGCTGTATGAGAAACCTAACTTCAAAGGGGAGAAAATCGCTCTAGACGAGGGAGACATAGAGCTCACCTGCCCCTTCAACCCTCCGGAGGAGCAGCTGCAGAACGGACAGAAGGAGGGTGAAGTGCAGAATCGAGAGCAGAACGGAGAGCAGAATGGAGAAACAAGCGATGGGCAGACAGAGACCAAGCCGACTAGAAGGTTCATCATCGGATCTGTTCGGAGAGCTGTCAGGGTGAGAAGTTCAGCTCACTCCGTTGTTTTTAATTGTTCCCAATAGTAGCTGACATGATGACCATGTACAGTACAATGGAACAGTACAGAAATCCATTTTCTTGTAGACTAAAGTATTATCCCCGTAAAACGTTATTATTTGATGCTTGAAGGTTGAATAGTTCTCACAGATATTTTGCACTGTAGCTTTTCAGTGACTGTATGCTATGTGTAACTCAGCAGCACCATCTATTGTCAAAAATAGGAGCGAGCACCTGTTGCTCTGACTGAAAATGCCCAAGTAATGCCAAGAGAAAAAAACCTACTTTTTCCAGCTCTGCTATCTATCATGTATCTGCCTGCTGTAGAAGTCATATCAGCCTAAAAAATATAGTCTTGGGTTCGGCTACAAAACAACTTCTAACAGCATCAGAATAACAACTTAGATGTTGTTTAATATTATTCTGTGTATTAAAAGACCACCAATCTGTCAGTATAGTGTTCAAAGACCAATCTGTCAGCATAGGGTTTAAAGACCTGTATGCCAGTATGGGGTTCCAATCATATGTGTTGAGTTTTGGTGGTGAGACAATCCTTTTGTTCACTTTTGGATTATGATTTGTGTCTGTAACTCAGTGTAGTTCCCTCCGGGGCAACAACTGCATATGTTTTCTCAGTCCCTTCAGGATTGCAGAATTACTACCTGATTTTTTTTCTCCACAACATCACATTAACAGATGTTCTCTGTCCTCCTTCAGGACTACAGCGTCCCAGAAATCAGTCTTTTCCCAGAAGAGAATGCAGAGGGGAAGAAGGTCATCTTCAGAGATACATCTGACGATGCCAGGATTTTTGGCTTCCCCGTCAAGGCTAACTCTATCATCATCAATGCTGGGCTGTGAGTTCTGAATTATGGCTTATCAGAAAATGCATGCACTGAAATAGCATTGTAAAAAGACATACATAATTTGTCATTAGTGCTTTATTTATTTTTAACAAATAAGATTTACTTTGCTTTCATTGTTTTCACTCATATTATCTTCTCTATTGCTCAGATGGCTCGTGTACGCACATCCCTTCTTCCAGGGCCTACCACGTGTCCTGGAGGTCGGGGGGTATTCCAACCCTGCAGCCTGGGGCGTGGAACAGCCCTATGTTGGATCACTACATCCACTCAAAGTAGTAAGTGTTACTTTCAGAAGCAGGTGCAACCTCTGTTCATGACTAATGCTGCATCAATGTATGATGATTTGCATTAAGGTTAGCTTTAAGTTTTGGCTTAGGAGGTAGAGTGGGTTGTCAGAAGGTTGTCAGTTCAATCCCTGATTCCTCCCTATGAGCGTCAAAGATACTGAACCCCAAACCCAGCCCGACGCTGTGCCATCCGTGTATGAATGTGTGTGAATTGGTGAATGTAACATACAGTGTTAAGCACCTTGAGTGGTCGGAAGACTAGACAGGCACTATATAAATGCTGTCCATTTACCATTTAAGTGAATTTATTTCTTTTTTTATCACAGGGTGAACCAAGAGTGGAAAATATGAGTGAACCAAAGGTAAGAAAGTAATATTACTGCTAATAAATTGCTGCTAAATCAAAGGGTTGAGACTGTGTAATTGCTTATGGATGGCATCTTTGATTACTGACGCTGAAAAACTCTTTGTCTCCAGATGGTGATCTACGACAAGCCATACTTCAGTGGGAAATCGAGGACCATAACCTCAAACACGAGAGACTTCATGACGAGAATAGACAGGCAGCAGACGGCCTTCATGTACAGCGTTGGCTCCCTTAAAGTACTGGGAGGAATGTGAGTGCGGCTTTGAAATGTATTTACTTAACCTTGTAAAGATATCTTAGTGATCATTAATGAGGCAGAAAGGTTCATATCAAACTGCTCCCAGGCAAAAACAATTGTACTATGATCAGATCAGTTATGCATGCTTTTCAACCCTGTGCATCTCTTTGTTGCTGCAGCTGGGTGGGCTACGAGAAGGAGGGCTTCCGAGGCCACCAGTACCTGCTGGAGGAGGGAGAGTACCATGACTGGAGGGTGTGGGGAGGCTGTGATTCTGAGCTGCGCTCCATTAGGGTGATACGAGCGGTAAGTTGCAAGGGATATTTCTTTGTACATAGTATTTGTTAATAAATAACAATCGCAGCAGAATTAATGGTCCGGAGGCTATTTAATGTTATTTTTCTGTGCATATGTACTGTACTGTATGTGTGTGAATCATTGTTTCTGTTATGACATCGTTTTATTTTCTCTTATCTAAGTCTTATCTAATCTAAAAATTGACTTTGCACTTTGATAAATAGCATTTGTAATTATTTTGTAATGCTTGTAGTGATTTATTAACTAAAGACCAGGTAAAAACGATATGGGTACAACAATGAAAAGACAATGGAACCCTGCAAGAGTGACTTGCAACATAAATTACTTAAAAAGATACCAGGTTTTATGTAGAATTTTTGAATTATGTTGTCACCAAATTATCTTAAAGATATAGGGATAGTAGACAATTTATATCACCAAGATGTAGATGCCCACAGATTGCTTGTTAACCAGTTTTCTTGCGCTTTTGCAGGACCTGACAGACCCCTTGATGGTGATGTTTGAACAGCCAGAAGAAGATCAGGAGGGCATGCAGGAGGAGAACAGCTTTGAAGTGACAGAAGCCATTCCTGACGTTGAACTGTTTGAGTACAAGACCTCCACCCGCTCCATCCATGTACTCAGTGGGGCGTAAGTGGACAAATACTGCCCCTGTTGTCACATCACCAATTCAAGTGGTACTGTGATACAATAACCAAGTTCACTGTTTGTTTTACTTCCAGATGGATAGCTTATTCCCATGTAGACTTCTCTGGGAACCAGTACATCTTAGAGAAAGGATTCTACAATAACTGTGCTGACTGGGGTTCTCAGGACACTCGCATCTGCTCAGTGCAGCCCATCCTACTGGTGAGGACCACTGGGAAGTGGAGGACACAAACCTATCAGCAAGATTTAACTAATGTATTGATTTTGTAATGTTACTCACATTTTTGTTTGTGTTTTTTTTCAGGCTCCAACTGACAGCTCAAAGATCAGGAAAGAGGTGACTTTATTTTCTTGACGTTCTCTGTTTTATGTTGTATAATGCAACTCAAGTCAAGTCATTAGTCTTTGATGCTTTTTGTCTAATAAATTATAATTGCAGTTTTATCTCACTTAGATGGGATATTTGGTGAGCTGGACTTGCTGCTCAGTTCAGGGAAAGTGTGACTTGATTTTTAGATGATAGAGAAGAATATAGTTGGCTATGAGTTTTTTAATTGATGCACGTCTCTAATGCCCAAGGGGCTGCAGATGGATTTTTGTTTTGTAACGTAAAGTATGATATGGAGGCAAAAATGTTCCCCTGAGTTTTTCATTTCTTTTCTCTTCCTGGTTTGCAAATGTTCTATTGAACTGTTTGGCACAAGCTAATTCATATTCTACATCTGCACTTTGCTCCATGCAGGCAAAACCCCTGTTTTGCAATGGAATATACCTTGAAACTGAGCACAAGGGTAGAGTTACTGTTTCCATTTGAAAGGCCCTTAAGCCAAAAACACCCCAACATGTATGCTGTTATTTGTCCTCCATTCAGACTTTTTTTATTTAAATGTTGCAGGTGAAATGTTAAATAGTAAGTACAAGTAGTGCTTGAAAGGCTACAATAAAAAAATAATTAAAAGAATAAAAACCTTCAGGCTATAAATATATTAACCTAATGTCTCACTTTCCTCTCCTTCACCTCTTTCTATCTCTGTCTGTCAGGTAATACTGTACTCTGAGCCAGACTTCCAGGGTGAATGTCACATCTTTGACCGAAACCAGGAAGCAGTGTCAGAAAAACTCCTGACCAAGTCGTGCCGAGTGTCTGGGGGAAGGTGAGGAACCTCTACATTACTATTTATTCAAGGAAAAGAGAAACAAGAAAAAAGTCTGTGAAATAGAAAGAAAGTAAAGAATATTGTGCAAAAGGGCTAGTAAGGCATAGGTGAATAACAAAATATGCATGATGGTTGTTATGAGCTACCTATTGGCTAAGCAAGGTTATGATTGATAGTGAATCAATAAAAACATAACGTAATTAATTTCTCTGTGTTTCAGCTGGGTGTTCTATGAGAATAAACAGTACTCCGGGAACATGTATGTCTTGTCTGAAGGAGACTACCCAAATCTAACCAGCATGGGATGTCCACCTGGCTTCACCATACGTTCTGTCAAGGCCGTGCCAGTGGTGAGAAAGCGCTCATAAAAAAAAAAAATAAAAAAAAAAAACGGGATATACGGTGTATTCATTCCCCTGTATTCCACTGAACCTTCATCTCTCCCTGTCTAGACTTTCTCAGTTCCTTCCATCTCTCTGTTTGGCCTTGAGTGTCTGGAGGGGAGGGAGATCACCACAGATACAGAGATCCTCAGCATGGTTGAAGAGGGCTTCAACAACCACATTCTGTCTGTCAGAGTCAACAGCGGCTGGTAAGTGTTTGCCTCTCTGTGTCTCTTCATGTTTGGCCATGTACAGTTTGTGGGTTTTGCATTTGCACAGGTTTATTTGCATTGGCGCATGTCATAAACTAGCCCTCTGGTTCTCCTTATGGGTGGCAACTTCTCATCTTGACAACCACAGTGAATATGTCTGTTAAAACACCTTGATAATCAGCTGTTACAATGGCGCAGCAAATTGAATAATACTAAAATGCTTGCATCTTCTTTTCTCTATTTTTGTCTTTCTTCCTTTGCAGTTGGGTTATATGTGAACACAGCAACTACAGGGGGCGCCAATTCCTACTCGAGCCAATTGAAATCACCAACTGGCCGAAGTTTAGCTCACTACAGACTGTTGGCTCAGTGTTTCCAGTCAGACAGGTTTGTTATGAAGTCATGCTTTTACAACCATCACAACATAGCCATAAAGTACACATTTTAAAATGCAAAATATGTATCCTAGATATCACTAGTGAAATTTCATTGCATGACATAACATGAAGCACAGTGTGTAGTGCAGTGTTTCTTAAACCATTTACCAACTCAGGAAATATTAGGCTCTCCATGTACCGCTATTATGACCCATAGGCAGGTTTATTCCTAATAAGAGGATTATTTATTGACTGTTCCTGAACAGAATGGGTTGAAGAACCAGAGCTAATCTGGTGAAAAATGGGTACTTCTGGTCAACACTTCTCTTCCTACAAATTTCCGTTTTGAGCCACCCTTGCAGTGTTTTTGAACCATCCATCCGCTTATTATCTTGCCACAACATTTTAGCTCGTAAGTAATCATGGATGTATGCATGTTCTCCATGCATGCACATGACTACATAGCAGGCTAATATTGAAACAAAATATTACAGGAAATGCAAAACTTTACATTACATTTCAGCAATATCATAGTTTTTTTTCATTTAAGATTTTGTAGTATTTTGATTATTATTTTTATTATTATTTGAAATTTTGTATTGTTGTATTGTGTGTTTTTTTTATTTAGTTAAAATATATATATTTTTCAGAGATTTCTCCGTGTACCACTAGAGGCAGCTCACATACCACAAGTGGTACACATACCATAGTTTGAGAACAAATGGTGTAGTGTATTAGTTAACTCTGAAGAGTTGAAGTAAATTCTTCTTGGTACTTTGGACGAAGTTTTAACATTAACAAAAATGTTGTGAGTGGCTGGCTGGACTGGTCCAGCACCTTCCCATGACTGGTTGGTGGTTGGCTAACTAAACACAAAGGCCCTATCTAGCCTTAGAAAAAAAATTTAAATAAATAATTTAGACCGTGAATAGGATTGGATTGGATTATATGTGATGATTTGCTCAAAGTGTGAAAGTCAAACAAGTGCCAACTTTGGATAGTTTGTAGGCAGAGTGTTATTTCACCACATACAAGTGTTGGTAAAACAGTGAAGGAGTATCGGTTTCATGCTGTCAAAGTACTTAATTAACATCTCTAACAGCAAAGTTAACACCATGACTAGAACAATATGTTTACCATAACAGCCCTTCCTCAAAGGGCTGGAAATTTTGTAAAAATTTAAAGTGAAAAGCCAAACTTAAACTAATCTTATGTGTTCTTCCCTTGATATTTAAAATCATAATTTAGATATGTAGGATCTTCTTAAAACCTTGATAAAAACTGAAAAGATTCACTGATCTTTATGTAACCACAATAATTTCTGGCATTTTGCCTCCTGCAGAAGCGCCGCTTTTTCCGCATCAAGAACAAAGAGCGAGGTCACTTCATGTCCATCCAGGGCGGCGTGGAGGAGATGAAATCAGGGCGTGTGGTGGTGTCCCCAGAAGTGGAGCCAATGAGTGACATCTGGTTCTATCAGGATGGCTTCCTCAAGAGCAAGGTAATGCACAGTTAAAGGTCATAATGCTGGCAGTAGTTTGCACACCAAAACCCGAACTGAACTTTTCAAGTCATCTTACTGTGTTAACATTGAGCTGCTCTAATCATGCGCTGTATGTATGTGCTGTAGTTGTCCCCAACCATGAGCCTTCAGGTGATGGGAAACATAGAGCCAGCAGCCAAGGTGGTTTTGTGGACAGAGACCCGGCAGCCTATCCAGACCTGGACGGCCCAGATGAGAGGCCTCATCACCAGCCTTACTTTCCCTGGCATGGTCCTGGATGTCAAAGGTATGTGTGGAAAACATGGGTTTGCATATACAGCATTTATTTGCTTCCCTGAATATGCTCAAAATCAATGCAAAGAAAAAGAGTAATTGAAGTTCCCTCTTCAAAGTAAAGGCTGGAATTCGTTATAATTTTGTGAGAATTTTGTGTTTTTTGTGTTCATATTGCCTTTTGATGAACTTGAAATGGTATAGCTTAAATTTAAGAATCTCTTTAGCAGATCTTTCTAAAATAATGTGATGTTTTAAACATGTATATCGCCGGCTAGTCCCTCCGTTCTAATTAATAATTGTGTCAGCAGTGGCAGAAGTATTCAGATTCTTTACTCAAGTAAAAACAACAATATCTTTATTACAGGTTGATTTTTTTTTACATTCAAATGTTACTTAAGTAATGCAACAGAAGTATTGGTAGACAAATGTAATTATTATTATTACTTTATCAAAAGTATGCAAAAAATAGTGTTATATTATTAGCTAACCACTTTATTTACTCCCAGGTAACAAGTAACTATCACTGTCCAATAAATAGTACTTGATTAAATGGTACAGTCTACCACGTGCCACTAAAAAGGCAGTTTTAGCCATTATATTGTTACCATTATGACTTTGTTCAACAAGTTTATTTTCCTTTTCTTCAGGTGGCAAAACTTACGACAAGGACCATGTGGTGATTTCTCCGGAGAACGAAGAGAGGCCAAGCCAGCAGTGGGAAATAGAGCTGCTCTAACCTGCTATAAAAACCCTCATGTTTCTCTTCGCTAAGCTTTCCTCAGCAGTGCTTCTCTTGACAACTACAGAATATTTATACTGCGAACTAACACTGCAACTTCCTTATTTATTCCAGTGCCTTCACCTCCATATCCCTTTGTAACTAGTATGAACACGGCAACATTAAAAGTGTGATGAAGCAATACAAACCCTGAAAAGCTGCACCAGACAGTTGCTTTGCAAAGTTTTGTGTTTTTGTTAGTTCGTACTAACTGTAATTTTCTGTAGGCACTCTAACAAAGAATAGTGTAAGTGCCTTGACCTGCTGCAGCAACTTCATCATCACAAAGTCAGAATAAATGTATTTTTGAGAAAGCTCAAAAATAATAATAAGCTACTGTATTCCAGTAGAACCATTCCTCATCAGACCAATTCCACATCTTTGACTTTGACCTTTAGCTGATGTCAACAATTTGTTTATTCAAACTAGAATCTCCCTGTTTGTATGATTCCAGGCTCATGCAAATTTCCTGACTGTATAAGCACTAGCACTAGTTGATGCTTTTATAATTTTGTTTACTATGGAGCAAACCAAGTTTTAGTTGCCTCTGGGACGATCAGCAAGTGGCTACCAATACTTCATACAGATAGTGGACAATTGAAGCCAAACAATTGTGTAGTGTGCAAGAAATGTATACTATGCTTTTTTTTAAAGTATTTTTTATATATGCACTGTATTTATCAATGTTTGCTTTGTGGGAAATGTTGCCGTTTTAAATGCAGTATATCACATTGCATTGTGCAGTGCAATGAAATGGGTTATGTGTGTCCAGTTATTCTATTTCTTGTTGTATTTTTGTCAAATTGTTACAGAAAAATATATGTTACCTGCATCAGTTGTATGTTAATATTTGATACTAAAGATATAATGTAAAAAGGTTATGTAAGAGGGAGTGGTTTTAAAATAATAAATAAAAATTGATAAATAAAACAAAGCTGACTAATTCTTTTTATTTTTTTTTAACTACAGTCATACATAGTAGTTGTGTAACATTATTGACATGCAATGATAAAACCATTTGTCCTAATCTCTTCATATTTTTTGTTTAAATTGAAGTATGGGTTTGATGTAGATGTACAATGATGTAGGGCACAGCAGCATCTTCAGTTATTACTATCATGAGGCTGTAGATCAGCTTTGTTTGTAATAACTACACAGGTCTCATATTTCCTTGCGTTCTGCAGGTTTTCCTCTCAGTACTGATAGCAACAAAACGTTGGATGTGCATATATCTGAGGGTCAGTAGATAATTCTGGATTTTCCTCCACTTTGTATGTTTTGTTTTGTTCTTTAATCTAGTTCAAATGTTTACTCTAACTCAATCAATCATTCATACTTCCCATCCCTGCATTCATCTATTCATACTTTTATCTATCCAGTTTCACTGCCTGTTTGAACTTAAGGTGAATGTCATGGTAATTGTTGTGTATTTCTATAGATAATGGCTTTCAGAGATGCACCAGGCCAACAAGAAGGACACAACATGCTAAATGGGAAAGCCACTAGTGGTAGAGTATTAATGTTTATTTTTGTTTATTTTTGTTTATATTCATATTTTGTATTGAGATATGCAGCATTTCAAACAGTTACAATCATTATGAGGACAAATAAGTGAATAACTAACTAAATGCTAATGCTAAAAAAGTCTTGGATGACACATTTCTAATGCTAACCATTGTTTATATTTTTTGTAATTGCAGTTTTTTACATTAAGTGTGAAGTCACTTACTTTTGGTTCTGCACAATACACAAAGTAGTTCAGCTCCTCAGTTTCACATGAGACTCAATTGGTTCATTAACTTACACTTTAAGTGACATTTAAACAGCAACAGACGGTTCAAGTGCACCCATTTCTTACTCTTCACTGAAAATTCATGTGTTTTCCTCTCTTAGTCTTCAGATGACACTTAGCACTACACTTACATCGATACTTAAACTTCATTCATTGCTTACATTTCAATACAAATGCAACCCATTTTCCGCACTGCCATTTAAACTGCTATTGGGCATCTTTAAGCATTTATATCGACGGTTTCAGTATTTGATATGTTTTAAATGTTGCCACAGGCAAAGTTCAGCAGTGAAGTTAATCCTACCAAAAGACAAATGAGCTCTTGCTGTAGATCAGGTTTGTTTGTAATAACCACACAGGTCTCATATTTCTTTATGCTCTGCAGGTGACAGCAGGTGGAAGTTAAACAGTTGAGATGGCGCTGGGTTTTGTGTTAGAAATTTGTTTATGAACAAATAATGTTCCACTGCATTTTTCTGTGAGACGCAATAGTTTATATGACCTGTAATTTGTGGCTGCTGAGTTTGAAAGTGGATGTTAAACTGTATGGCTGTCTCTCTCTGTCTCTCTCTCTCTCTCTCTCTCTCTCTCATTTTCTCTTTCAAATCTGTCTCTGTCTCTGGTTCCTCTCTCTCTCATCTCGTCTTCTGTCTGTCTGTCTGTCTGTCTGTCTGTCTGTCTGTCTTCATTCATCTCTCTTCTCTCATCTGTCTATCTCTTCTTCTCTGTCTTCTCTTGTCTCTCTCTGTCCTTATCTGTCTCTCATGAGTTCTCTCTTCTCTTTCTTCTCATCTCTCTCTCTCTCTTGTATCTGGCTCTCTCTCTTTCTCTTGGTCTCTCTCTCTGTTTCTCTCTGTCTCTCATTCTCTCTCCTCTCTCTCTCTCTCTTTCTCGTTATCCTTGCTGTCCTGTCTTGACTGAATGGAAAGGGTGAATAGAAGTTTTAGAGTATCAGATCGCTATCACTGGCAGTCTACTAAAAGCGCCTTTGTTAGCTCTTGTGATACAATTTAGTTTTCAGGTTTTGGAGCCAGAAAACCAGCAGGTTATACATGAGCTCACCAATCTTAGGGAGATCTATTTTACCCTGAAACTAGGCTTACTCCCCCACTTACTTGACGACTTATATGTTGCCAAGTGGGTTTGTTTATCAGATATCTGCTCCACCTTGGTGGACAGCTGTAAAGTGGCTAAGCTATAACTTGAAAACCTTAATACATTCTTCAATGAAGGGGACACACTGGGCAGCCTGATATAACAGTGATTAATCATTTGTGGCTAAATCAGCCACAAAATCTACAGCATATAGTCATGTCAGAGGAAAGGTCCCCTGTAAACAAACCTGACTGTCCAGATTCCTTCTCTGCAAGGAATGTCAGTATTTTACAAGTGGGTTGTCATAGTAATTCTACAGACCAATAGTGTTGACAAAGCAGTGCGAAAACTAAGCACTGATTGGTCAGGTGTTTGAGTGACAGTCAGGTGGGTGAACTGCAGCAGGTGTGGCATAGTAAGGGTGGGACTGAGACACAGTGCTGATTAGAGGAGGTTGTAAAATACTCTCTTAACTCCACACCTTCCTACAGCTGCCACAACATTCTGTTACAGGTAGGAAAAATAAGATTTTGTAAGAAAATATTGTACTTCTCATGTGTTTGTGTTGTCATGTTGGGTGTCTTGTCCCTTATAGATAAACACTTAATGTAATATAACTGTTTGTTGATATAACTACTAGTTGAATAACCTGCCATCAAGTGATTATTTGAATCTAATTGAGAATGAGGTTAACTTTTCCTTTCTTACTACTGACATCACAAAATTGGTTGTAATTGTATATTAATTCAGTGCCCACATGCCTGTGGAGTTTAATGTCATTTACAATAATGTTTCTACATATGTATAGACCATTTACCGCATTATTCACATTTTTCTGTTGCAGTTTAAACAAAGCCATGGACCCTGAGTACTTCAAATCTTATGTAAGTTCACCTTTTCTCTGCTATTGCATTATGATTCTGTTTACCAAGACACCACACTTGTAGATAATATAATCAGCTGTCTTGTGCACTGTGATTATACCTTCTGACGTTATCTACAAATGTCACAATGCGCATGATGACTCCAGGCATGCTAGAATGTTGCAATGTGAACTAGTGTTTCCGGTTAGAGTTTAATATAAAGAAAGTCAACTAAATGAACTAAATTGAAATAACTGAACTAACTCAACTCTGCCCTAAAGTGTAATATAATGTTTGCGATTTAGCTGTAAGTGCAGTGTTTCTTGTTGAAGTAAGTAGTGATATCAAACTGCCTTTCCAACCTACACATTTTCCCACCACCTCCCCCCCCACCTGTCACAGTAGGAGTATAGAATATTTGAAATTCTTTAAATTCATACATACAAAGCTGACCTGTATCTTTGCTCATCTTCTACCATCACCTCCATGGTATGTCTGCTTAAAATGCATTATCATCTTGTTTTCTTGTTACACATTCCACATGTTCCCTACCAGTTATCAGTTCAAATGTTCGATAGAAACAGACAGAATATGGGTCCTATGTCAGGACTTATGCCTACTCTTCTTTCAGTCTTTGTAGTATTTATTTAGTTTGAATACATTTTTGGTTTCTCTCTGTCTTTAAAATAGGAGATGTGTTGGGGTACGCTTGGAACGGTGCGACCCTTCTCCAATTTCCACCCTGACCGGGATGCGATGGAGATCCAGGCAGCTCTAGAGAAGAAAGGTACTTCTGCTAGTAGACTGAAACTGGTTTGGAAAGGCAGAGTGGTATTGTTGACTATCATTGTTGCATGAAGCTGAACACAATCCATATTTTCTTTTGACTCTTAACATTCCACACCCCATCATTAAATACTCACTATTGCATCATAATTGAAATCCAAACATTGTCTAGCTGACTCAGATGCGGTGACTCTAGTGAGGATCCTCACCAATCGGAACAATGCTCAGAGACAAGTGATCGCCCAGACCTTTAAGGAAATAACACAAAAGGTAAAGAAACAAATGACTTGAATATGTTTAAAACAGCACTTCTTACTGAATTTAGAAAATGTTCAAGATTAAGAGGGCTTTAGTAAAGCTTTTAGAAACATGATATATTTAGAATAACAGTTTCAAAGTTTAAAGCCCCAAAACCCCCCAATAAAAAATATTCCCTAATAAAATCCATGTTATACAATACAACAGAATGTAGTGTAGCAATGATAATACTGTATGTCGCAAATGTGTGTGTTTGCTCATCTGTAACTTCCAAGTGTTTGCTGATTAAACATTATTTAAACTGGTCTTAAAGGGTTTGAACACACCTTTGTTTATAGAGGGAGTATGGGCATCATAAGCTCAAATGATGGTAGAGAATTTATGTGATGTTGTGTAGGGTATGTATGGGTTTTATGGGTATATTTTAAAATCAACAAAAGAACACAACAGTTGGTCCCTTTTCGTTCCCTTTTTTAGAAGTATTTTCTTTTACACAAGGTTGTGATAGTATCTAGAAGACACACTGTAATCCTGTGGTCACACAGCCAGGAATCTCTTTTCAGTTGCAGTTGGTATCATATTATCTTAAAGGGAAAGTCCAAAGTTTCAGGTATAGACCCAAATTAGGTGCAGGCGAAAACACTCCACTTTGCGTCAGCGATCCCGCCACCTTCTAGCTAATGTTAGCTGTATTAGGACACTTCCGGCCAAGTGTATTATTGCGCTTACACCGCGGCCATTTGGTATGAATGCAATATGCAAAAAGAGAGGCAGTGCTAAAGTTGTCATCCATGTTTTATAATGGGTTTGTTGTAAAGCAGCAGGTATAGTGAGTAATGTTACTGTGGATACCTGCTGGTTAATATATTTGAGTACCAATTTAGTTACAGTAGTTGGTGGTCCAACTATATTTGATGCATTTTCAAATTAGTATTTCTTGGGGCCATTAATAAAGAAGTAACATGTTGAGTATATTTTAGGGTACACTGAGAGTCAACAAAGACATCCAGATACAATGTTTGAGATATGTGAAAACATCAATGTTTATTCTGACTCTGTACCAGGACCTGGCAACTGCCTTGAAGAAAGCTCTGTCTGGAGAACTAGAGGTTCTACTGCTGGAACTGCTGATGCCTCCTTTGCAGTATGAGGCTTATCGCTTGCAACAGGCCATGGCGGTGAGTATTTGTGTGCATATTTTGATGGACTTGGAGTGGGTATTTTCTGTGTATACATGAATTCCTTTTGTGTCTGCAGGGTTTGGGCACTGATGAGGAAACACTGATGGAGATCCTATCTACGCGATCTGGAAAGCAGCTTCAAGAAGTTAGTGGTGTGTACCAAGATTGTAAGTCACAGAACCTTCTTATTTTTTCCCCAAAAATGTTTTGATTGATATCGTAGATATTTAAGCCACCCAATCCTCACTCTCTTGTGCCCTGATATTTCTCATACTGTTTGTTTGTCTCCCTCAGTGTATAAGAAGGACCTGGAGAAGGAACTGAAAGGAGAGACCAGTGGAGACTTTGCTAAGCTTCTTTTGGCTTTGCTAAAGGTAATTTGAGTATTCATAACCCTAACCATCACCTTTAACCTAATAAGTAAAGCAGCTGGCCTTAATAATTGTTGAGGACAGTCAGTAAAGCTACAATAGTGGGCATAGAGCACCCAATTTTTTACATTACTGAAACAATTTGTCTTGGATATGAAATAGCGGTGGGGCAACATTACTACCGAAATGTAAAAATAGCATTTCTGTGACCTTTCTGTGAAACTCTATTCTGACATGCCCTGAAATTGCAGTTAAAAGGGTTTTCTCACTCCTCTCTCCCAACAGAAAGAAAATGTTGTTGGTGTGGTTCAAAGAGATATTAAGGTATTTTTTTTCATGACACTATCATACACACGTTATGATCTATAGGTGAGTGTAAAGAGCAGCTTTCAGTACTATATTTTAAGATGATGAAGCACATCGACAGTGCACTATTTTGGCAGTTAGGATACAAGCAATTGATATATTGTTATGCTGACAGATATTAGTCCAACTGAAAAATCCTGGTACATCTTTGGATACTTTGAACTTTACAAATAACTAGTAACAACAATGTTTTATTACATATTTATTACCTTTTCACAAGCAGAAAATATTAATAATGAACCTGGAAATAAGGGGCATTCTCACACAGGTAATTCTTTCATCGTAGTCTGCCAGGCACTGTATGAAAAACTCATACTTTACCCACTAAACTACTGCAGCCCTTGCATGGATTATGGCTCTAAGACAGATGGCTATGGCTCATGTCTGAGATTTCATTCCTTCCTAACCGTGTTTTATTGTTTTTTATTTCAGTCTCTCTCTGCATCCCTTAATGGGAAAAAAGCTGATGCAGGACCATGGATTGAAATACTGACCTCTAGAGACTCAGATCATCTGAACAAAGGTGAGGCTGTGATATTTTTTTCGAACATATTTATTTCTGTGAGTTCTTCACTGTTTTATGAATATCCTCCTGACCTTGTATATCATTGACAGTGCTGATGGGACTGGAACTGGAGACCGGACAGATGGTGGATCAGATTGTGGAGAAAAAGTTTACAGGAGACTTTCAACTGGGTTTGAACGTTTTAGGTAGATAATGTTTGAGATACTGTGTGAGAGAGTAGTATGCACTGTCAACATTGATTAGCCTCTGATATTTCTTGATATTTGTGTAATTTGTGTCGACAGTTCAGTGCATTCAAAACCCTGATGTCTACCTTGCCAAAAGACTAACAAGCACAAAGGTAAGAAGCTGTCATCATCAATTCACCATCTTGTTTTCTGATGATTTATGGTTATTGATGATGAGATCATCAAAAGAAACTATGACTGATTGATGGATTTATGAAGTGACTGATCATTGCATGTATCATTATAAAGACTTATTAATCATTCTTTATTCATTATTATCATTACTGCATGACAACTTTTTAACATGTCTAATACACTACTTAAGTAATTAAATGAATGGTTATTTTGTCATTTATCTTGTTCATGATATGCTTTTTTTTTCTCGTCACAGTCATAAAAAATATTCATAAAACTATATGGTATAGTTATTATATATAATTTTTCCTTTTTGTTCGAAAAGTGCTTTGTGCATGAATTGTGCTATATAGATGAATTTGCCAGTGCCCATTGCCTCTGCCTAGACCACAGCAAAACAAATTTATAGTGCACAGATATGCAAAGGTGATTCAATAGTCCTGTTGAAGGCAAACCTGCATGAAATTTAATGGACATTTTATATATGTAGGAAATATTAGTGTCTTAAATAACAGTTACATGCACAAAACATTTCACTCTTCCAGACACCAATAGTGCAAGGGATTATGGTGTCTCACTGTGAGGAAGATCTGCTGTGTATCCGAGCTGCCTACAATAAGTTAACAGGCACCTCTCTCTACACTGCTCTACAGGTGGGTCACACACATACCTTGCTAAATACAACATCTTAAAATACCTGCATGAACTGTATGTGTACTGACATGATATTTTTTTTCAAACTGAATAAAAGTAAATCAGAAGAGTTATTTTTAAAATGCAAATTGTGTTTTTATTCTTTTAAGGAAATGGTATAGTCATTTTTACATGTGAACTGTTTTTTTTTTTGTTCAACAGAAACAGTTCAAAGGAGATCATCTACAGGCTCTGCTGGCCATCTGTCGATCTGAAGATTAAACAAAAGCTACACAGTTTGAGATGCTACATTTTGTATTCATTTATGCAGTTCTTTTTCTTCCTGAATCAGTTTGCAGTAGTGCAGCAATAAACATTATTTTCTATGGCTACTGTATTGCTATTTTATGGAATGTAATTTAATTGCATAATTTGCATGTTTAAGGACATATAAATACATGTAACTAAATTTAAGTTGGATATTTTATGAGTGCAATTTGTTTTTATTACTTTAAATATCTGCCACAATAATTCCTCTTTATCCTGATGTTGTATTTACATGCAGAATTTATTTTCAGGTGCTTATAAACAGAGAGCAATGCCACACTTTCTCTTTTTTCTCTTTTCACCTTTTCTTTTTAATACTAAACATTATTACATATTATTTATTACAATATTATTTGACTTTTTTGTGAATGTTATCATTTTAAATTTAATGTTAAATATCTGATTAAATAGTGTGGATACAAACAGCATAACAAGCACACTAGAGAACACTGAGAAATGTTGACACAGAGAGGAAATTGAATCTTTTAGTCTAGTAGGTGAGTTTTGCAAGTTACTGTTCAGGGGCAGAGCGTGTAAAGCAACAATGGCACAACACAAAACAGTAGAGAAGCTTTGACTTCTGAGCCTCCATTGTGTGTGGTGGTGGTTTGGGTAGTTGACGTCTTTGTTGTTGCTGTGGTGGTTGTATTCCCGGTGGTAGGGGTGGTCATAGCTGTCGCAGAAATAGCTGTAGACATGTTTATAGTAGAGTCTGGGGCAACAGTTGTAGACATAGATGCAGAGGTCGTTGTAATTGTTGGCATAGAGGTGGTGGTAGAAAAAGTTGGGGCGACGGTTGTAGTAGAGGTGGTGGTAGAAACAGTTGGAGCCTCGGTCGTATGGGTGCTTGGGGCGGCGGTTGTAGTGGTGGTTGCCGAGGTGGTTGTAGTCATTGACGTAGAGGTGGTGGTAGAAACAATTGGGGCCTCAGTCGTAGGGGTGCTTGGGGCGGCGGTTGTAGTGGTGGTTGCCGAGGGGGTTGTAGTCATTGGCATAGAGGTGGTGGTAGAAACAATTGGGTCCTCGGTCGTATGGGTGCTTGGGG